AAAAATTTGAATTGTTTTAAAAACTTTAGTAAAAAATTAAATTATTATTAATAATAAATGCTTTCCTTCCACCAAGCAACATTTTGGCCTACAGTTTTGAAACTTTTCAGCTGAATTGTTAATAAAACGTCCAAAAGACGATGAAAAAGCTGCATCAAAATTATTCATAATTATTTTCTAACAGTCTGCAATAGGTCATGTATATATATATAATAAACTGTATTGATAGCAGATATATATTTTTTTAAAAACTGAGGACACTCAAAAGCACTGCCACAATGCAAACAAAAATTAATCTAAATTAAACTTTTTAACTGACAGAAGCATTTGCATGTATAAGCATCTTTAGTAATGTACAAACTTGTATAGCATAAAACACACAGTTTAGTATTCTGTAGTAATGTACAAATTGTTATAATACTAATAATTTGCACTTAAAATTTTATATAAACTAAACTGAGTTACCATTAAATAAGTTTATTCCCACTTAATTTTTGTTAAAAGCTAAAATGAATTGATATAAAAACTTTAATGTAATAAAAACTTTTTGTTTGTTTTTTAGTGTACTCACCTTCATAAAGAAATCAATACAGTAAAAAAAAAGTAAGTTCTATTTTATGTCAATGGGATGGTTTCGTCTTTTTTTGGCGTAAGTGCACTAGAAATGGTGTCCAAAATTTAAAAATAACAATATTGATATATACCCATTTGATAAAGGAATGAGCTTTGTAACAATCCCTCATGATAAAGCAATAAAAAAGATTTCGAGAACAAATTGTGCTAACTAAAATCATCAATGAGGATCCAACACAAAGTTGTGCAATGAAAATCAAAGTCCAATTATCGAAAATTAGATAAAAAAGGTTGATTCACAAAAGATCAGCAAATTTATTCCAGTGATCCGATACCACTTCGTATGTATGGTGTAGTGAAGGCACATAAGCCTGAACAATCTTACCCAATGCAAATTGTAGTATATGCAATAGGCACACCAAACTACGGAATCTCAAATTACTTTGTAAAACTAATACAACCAATATTAAATGAAAACCCAACTTGATTAAAAAATTCTTAGAAAAAGCAAAATCGTGGGACATATCTGAAACTCAAGTATCATTGGACGTTATAAACTTATACCCATCAATTCCTCTTTCAGAAGCAACTGAAGTACTTATAAGTTTATTGGAAGTGAGCGATAATTTTAGAAAGCGACAAGATTAAATATGAAAGAAATAAAAAATTCTAATAGAACTATGTTTATACTGACCATACTTTTTATGGAACAATGAAATACATGAACTTGAAAATTCTGGTCTGACAGGTCTTTCGTTTATGGTAGTTTTAGCTGAAACTTTTCTTCAATATCTTGAAAATAGAACACGCTGAAAACCAACCCGCTTATTGATATAAAATCATTTTATAGATATGTAGATGACAGTCATGCTAGAGTACCTAACATTGCCCAGGCTGATCAATTTAAGACAATACTTAATCAACAGTATCCAAAAATAAAATAATTTTTATTTTTGGATACTGTTGATTAAGTATTGTCTTAAATTGAAAGAATTTGAAAATGACAAAAAAACACTAAATTTTCTAGACATATGCATAATAAATAACAAAAATGGTAAATACACAGAAAAAATACTTTGTGTGTATTTTAAATACATTACTAATGCAACTACTAACATTTAAGTTAAGGCAACATCAAACTATGACCCACAAATTTTAAATTGAATTTTTAAGGGTTTCCTACATAGAGGATTTAATGTATGCAGTCAGAAACATATAGAAAATGAACTGAAATTCCTTATTCAATATTATTCAGTATTTGTCGAAAATGGCTACAAACAGTTTAATCTCATAAAAATCATAAAAGAAATAAAATTAAAGTACAAAAAGTCTCTAGTGACTACTAAAAACATTTACAACATCACCAGTTCGTATGCAACGATTTCATTAACTTGGGTACCAAAATTGTCTCCCATATTGCGTAAAGAGTTTAGGAAGGCAGGATATAAACGGTCTTCAAATAAAACTTGAACCTAAAGGCAGTATTAACATCAAGAAATAAATCAAAACTACAAGTTAACAGACACCCAGGAGTCTACCTTATTAAATGTCATTGTAGGAAAAAGTATAAAGGTGAAACAAAAGTGCAAATAAAAACATGCGTGCAGCAACACAAAAATAGTACAATAGGAAAAATAAAATAGAACGATCTGCATTAGCCACACACATGAGACATTGTACGCAACAAGTTAACTGGAACAGTTGCAGAACTCTAAAAGTCATTGTTAAAAAGTTTGATAGAAAAGTTCATAAGGCACTTGAAATACAGTACCACCAATGTGCCCCTTAACAAAATGGTATCAATTTAGATGAGGGACAAAATGTGTCAACAAAATTTTGGACACCATTTCTAGCGCACTTACGTCAGAAAAAGACGAAACCATCCTATTGACATAAAATAGAACTGCCATTTTTAAAAATAAAATATAAATAAAAACAAGCAAAATACTTTTAAGCTGAAGACGCTGGTCACAACAATCCAGCGAAAATTTCTTTTAAAAATTTAAAAAATAAGTTTAGTATCAAGAGAAAATTGTATTTATTGATGTTGATAAAATAATAATAATAATAATATATATACATATATAACATTTTTTTATTTTTTGTTAAAAAAAGTATTTTTTTAAGTAATAAAACCAAAAATAACAATTTTTTTTAAATTTTGAAAAAAATGAATATTATTTTTGAAATATATATATATATATATATATATATATATATATATATATATATATATATCATCGCTTCCAAAGATAACAATTTAATGTTACCATTGTTTCATATTCTTTTAAAAGAAAAATCTCTTTAGTTTTAATATCGATTCCGAAAAAAGTTTTGATAGTTAATTTTAAAATTAAGAGTTGTTATGTGACGTATTCATGATGTGAATGCATAAATAAATTTAACTTTACTAAAATTAATTATTAGAAAAAAAAAATAAAAATTCAACTATAATTCATGACCAGTTAAGAAGGCTGAAAACTCTTAATGACCAGTAAAGAAGGTTAAAACCCTTAATGACCAATAAAGAAGGTTAAAACTCTTAATGAGACTATTAAGCTGGATAGCAATTGAATGCCACTCTGAATGGCTCCTTTCCAACAAGGAATGAAAGTCTTTGAGTTAATTTTATAATAATTATTATTTTGAGTCATGAAAATGATTATTAAGTAATTAATTAATTTAATTAATTACTTAATAAATTAATTAATTGTAAAATTTTTTGAGTAGCTACCTTTAGGCTAGATTATGGTTATATGTGCATCCTTGAGCAAAAATTGTAATATTTTCAAAAATAATTGTGCTTGATCCAAAATTTTTGCAAAATTTTTGAATTTAAATTACAGAAATAAATATTGTATTGTTAAAATAGAATAATTTTTTACTGTGTTTTGTTTTTATATTTAAAAAGCAATTAAAAATACTGCTATTTTAAACTGCTTGTCTCCATTTGTTAAAAAAAAAAATTGGTTATGTGGGTTCCTGAGCTAACTTATTAAAAGCTCTTTTTTTTTTAGTTGATTAGCAATGGCTTGTTACAATTTAAAATGGGTGATATTATTATTTATTTAATGTTATTTTACTTTATTTATTTTTAATTGTTAATAGATGTTAAAGAACAACTTTTAACAAGTAAAAATAATGTAAATATAATAATGGTAAAAAATAAATAAATAAATGGTAAAATAATAAATAAATAATATTGTAGTATCAATTCAACAAATGTAAACAACATATGAGTAAGTATTAATACCTGAGTAAGTTTAAAACTTTTTTTAATTGTGGTTTGATCTTTTTTAGTTTATCGCTTGATCATTATTCAGTAACTTTTGCCTTTCACTAGGACGAATGCTTCTATTTTTGTTAGAACGGGCAACCATCATTACTTGTCTTTGCATCATTACTTCTTAACTAATTTGCATCATTTTTTTTTTCTTCACTTTGCATCATTACTTCTCAACTATTACTTCTCAACTAATGATTATAACAGTTGGAATGTATTTGAAAATCTAAATAGCTAATATAAGTTTTTTTACAATTTCCAAAATTTGAAAAACAATTATTCAAATAACAATTGTTAATTTTACTTAAGTTGATTTTAAATTTGTACTTAAGTTTATATTATGTTTATAGTTAGTTTTAAAAGTTTAAAGTGCTGATCTTTTTGATCTTTTTGAAGCTGTCTGAGACTAAGGTTAGATAATCTTTATCTAATCTTTATCAGGTTAGAGTTATAATCTTTATCAGACGACAGATCATTAAGATTATAGAGTGTGACAAGCTTATTAGATTCCTAAACAGAACAGAGAGAAAACTTGGAACAGTTTTGTTGCAGTTGTTTATGGCTTCCTAGGAAATCACAAGGTTATGGTGAAAGGTGAAAAGGTGAGCCCTTTCATCAATATATATTGGACTTCGAACATTGTTATCAAAAAAAAGTGTAACAACAGGTCCATATGAAAAACATTTTGTAGGTACTAAATAATAGTTCAACAAAAATATCTAATTATTCAAAATCCATGAATTTCAATATCCAAAATCAAATACCCATAATAATTTGAAAAAATAAAATCCAAGAAATTAAAATCTCAAATCTTAATGTAACAGTGCACAAAAAAAAAAGTCAATAAATACAAATTTAATAAAGTCATAAATTATTAAAATGTAGAAACATACATGTGATATTGTGATAAGTTTAATGTCCTGCAAAATGAATTTGTCTAGTTATTTCAGAAAACCACTTGAAGTAAGAAACCTGCTTTAGTTTAAGAAACCTGCTTTAGTATAAAAAATTAATTTTTTTTCTTCTTTTTTTTTTCTTTATTTGAACTAAAACTAAGATTACTATGATTATAATTTTTTTAATTTCTATAATTTTTTATTATACTAAAATAATAAAATTATTATTATTATTTGTCATACTTTAGAATGGTTTTACTAGTTTTGACAATCAAAGTAACAACACTGTACACGTTGCTTTAATCAGAGAAAAAAATAATATTGAATATAGTAAATTTCATGAATACGCATCATTTACTAAAATTCTGACGGCACCTTCTAAAAATCTAATCAATGATTTATTTAATGGAAGCAAAGTCAATTCAGATAAAAAACACAAAAGAGCTAGAAGATATGTTCTTCAAGGAACCAAATGGAATAAAAAGGTTAAGAATTTTTTTTTCTATGTTAAAAAAAAAAACTTTTTAATAATAAATGTAAAATTTTAAAATTTTATATTTTGAATGTTTTTTACGTTTAGATTCTTACTTGGAGACTTTGGAATGTTAATAATAAAAGACTATCACACTATTATGTAGAAAATACACTACAAAAAGCTTTTAATATTTGGGAAAATTATTCAGACTTGAATTTTCAAAAGCTTAATTTTAGTTTAAATAGCGTGGCAGATATAGAGATAAAGTTTTTAGAAGGGAACCATGGTGACAATTATCCATTCTCTGTTGGAGTCTCTTCACATGCTTTTTATCCTCAAATTCAATTTGGTAAGTTTAAAGTTTAAGATTTAAGTTTAACTTGGTCATTTTAAAGTAATCTTTAACTTAAAAAGTTTTATTAATAAAAATAAAATATTTTAAAATGTTATGTTTCATGATCTGTGTGATTTTTTTTTACTTTAGGTATTGCAGGTGATATTCATTTTAATAATGATTATAATTTTACTAAAGAATCGTTTTTGTATGCTGCTGTTCATGAAATTGGACACAGTTTAGGGTTGGCTCATGTTAACTTCAAGGGTGCAATCATGTATTATGCAATAAATAAAAGTTATGTCAAGTTAAGTGAAGATGATATCATGGGTATACAGGTTTTATATGGTAGGATTTTCTTTATTTTCATATGAGTTTTCAATTTAGGGTAATGTCTGGTTGTGATATATATATATATATATATATATATTTGTATATATACACACATGCCTTATAATATGTATCTAAGGATACAATTTCCTAATATATTTTGTGCGATTTAATTCTACATTTATTATATTTATACAGGATTAGCATTTTAGTAAAAACTGTTATTAACATGTGTCCTGATATCAAAAATTGTAAAAAAATAAAAGTTATGTGTATATAATATATTTTAAAATGAAAGTTTAAAAACTAACTTGAAGAGAAAAAACATTTTAACTCCTTTTTTAAAAAGTATGTAGCTTTCTTTTTTCCTTAGTTCTTTGGGAAGGTTATTATAAGTTTTTGATCCAATAAAATGAAAAGATTTTTTACCAAACTCAAGTTTTTTCTCAGTTAAAGATAATTGTTAAAATTGCTACATAGTTTTTTTTTCCAGATATTTGCGAGTGATTGTACAGTAGGGTTATGACTTTTTATCAACCCCATGCTCCTGTACTTTAACAACCTGTTAAACTTTTACCTAAAAAGCACGAAATGAACTATTATTTGCATATCTTTTCAAAAAAGTTCACCCTGCCATTGAAAAATCAATTTAGACATAGTACTACTATGTATTAAAATGTATTTAGAATGTCATAGTCATGTAATACAATAAATTTTCAATCTAGCAATGACTCAAACCGTTGACCTAGCTCTTGCTTGTTGCACAGAAGGAATCGAAGGTGCGATTTGTCTTTATTTTTGCATGATGAATAAATTTACTTTGATTGCGCGCTCTGTGCATTGATTACTTCTGGGTATCTGTAGTATGGATGGCTCTCACTTCCAGTAATTTTTCAAAGAGCTTAAAGCCTTTTTGTATGGCTTCAGCATTTCAGCCTGATTAATCATTTCAAACCTGATTAATCGAAAATGTCCCTTTTCCTCAAAAAATCGAAACACTTGAGTGAGATGAAACAAAAATTTCATATCATCTCTCCAGCCTGATGTTTTGAGAATTACTTCTGTTCCATTATCAAACTGTGTTTTTAGTTGTTCGTGTTCCTTGAACAGTTGAGTATTTGATGTTTGGCAATTGTGTTTTACTTCCAAGTTCTTTATCCATCACCAAATGGAAGATTCTATCTAACACATGGTGTTGACAACTGATAAACTGAGGTTTGTTGATGCGTTTCTATGTGAACATTCGTTGCAATATTACAACAACACTATACATTTTCTTGTGTTAACACTGGTGGTATCTGCAAAATCTGTATTGAATTCCATAGGTAAAATTCATCAAGGACTTTAGAAATTGCTTGAGCAGTAGTTAAAGCCCTGCCATCTACCAAGCCATGGACATCCAATTTGATTTTTCTTCTTTCATTTTTAAGGACAACCACTTGATAATCCATTCTGTCGATGTGCTTCTCATCAAAGTGTAAGGACCAACTTTCCATATGCAACTTTCAATCATTTCTTCCTTCAGCTCGATTGTCTCTTTGATTGTTGACTTGTACATAGTTGATTGACATGGAGTTGGGATGTCAATTCCTTCACGAGCCAATTGCTTGCATATGTTAGCAGCTTTGTTTGTTGATACTCTTGTGGAGGTCACCAAATTGACTGCAATTTTGCTTTTATGATGTTTTTCTGCTTAGTGTAGGAGTTGTCTCATCTTCTGAATCTTCTCATCTTCATTGCTTTTGTATTCACTGTTATCAGCCTCAGAGTCAGAATCACTAAAACCAGGATAGTAAATTGATGAGTTGAATGACTCATTAGAAAGTTTTTGTCTTTTAGAGGAATGGGTCGTTTCTTTACTGGCTACTTGGCCTGTAGAGTATCCCACTGTTCCTTTGCTTTTCACTTGGAGATGGTACAATCGTTTGTCCTCCGAAGATAACCATGTTTCATCCACTTTAGTAATATCAAAAATCAAGGGGCTCGTAGTTTCCCTTCTTGACACATTCATCATAACATTTCAGTATTTCAACAAGCTTTGCTTTTATAACTTGATCAGATACATGAGGAAAATTCAGTTTGTTCTTCCACAATTTGGTGTCTTCTTTGGAAATTTCTGCTATTCGCTCCTTTCTTCCTTTGATTTTTGGTCCAAGGAAATGGTAGCGTCCGATAATTTGCTTTTGGAGAGGCATTCTACACTTTTCTTCCAGTGAATATTCTTCCAAAGGGACCATTCTTCTTTTATGAGTCTTTAAATTTTACCAGATTATTGGTCCAGACATCCTTGTTCTTTTAAATGCTACTATCGCTAGGCTTGTACAATGCCATGCTTCTGTAATAACTATAAAATTAGATGAGCAGCTATATATAGTCTAAAATGTTCTAGAATATTCCAGAATGTTCTAAATTGTTCTAGAATGTTCTAAATTGTTCCAGAATGTTTTAAATTGTTCTAGAATGTTCTAAAGTCTTCTAAAATATTCTGTTATTTTCCAAAATGTTCTAAAGTTCTAAACACTTCTTATCTATACAAGTTTTAAATGATTTGCAGCAAAGCCACACATATTAGTAGTTTGCAACAAAGCCACATGTGCAGCAAAGCCACATGTATCTTGTGTCGTTAGTAACAAGATTAAATAAATGACAAAATGTAATTTGAATTGTGGGGTGACCTTTTTTTACAACCGAGAGGAATTGAACATGTTTTCAATGTTTTCTAATAAAAGTTCATCAATTTATGACACAGGAAGTTAATTTTTTTTAAAAAAAGTCAAAAAGTTATAACCCTATTGTACAGGCATGGATCAAGTTTTCTACTGTTGTTAAACTGATGTTATTGCCGTTAATAATATAAAGCTAAACTGTCTTTTAACATAAAACATAACATCAAAAACATCACAATGATAACTAAGGCTGTGCAGTTAAAAAAGGGCAAAATAATAAACATAATAAAATAGTCCACAAACAGTTTGTCATGAAGTGACAATTTCATGACAAGCTGTTTTACATGACAAGCTGAAAGTAAGATTTTTTGAGAGTTTAATATTAATGTCAATGAGTAAAGTATAAGCTTTTTTTAAAAAGATGTAATTTTTTATTTTACCTAAATTTGTTAATATTGTTTGTAATATTTACCTTAAAATATTGTTATATTGAAAACCTTGTTTTCTAAATTGTTTTTATTGTATCCTATTAAGCAAATAAATAATAAAATAAATATAATCAAAGTATTTCATTGTTTAAATATTATTAATGCCTAGGAGCATGTAAACGTAATGCCTAGGAGCATACAAAACGTAAAATAATTTAATATTTTCTAAAAAATAACTAAAATACATTTTAAGCAATTTGAAAAATTGTAAAGTTAAATTTGTTTTTGTTGTTATCTGGTATTGAACTAGTTCGAAATTAATTTTTTAATTATGCTTATTTATTTACATTTATTATACAGTTTCGTTGTCTTACTAACAGTTTTTATTTTATTCACAATAAAGATGCAAAAAAAAAGTGTTATTTGAAAATTCTTTAAAAATTAAGTAAATTTAACGCCTAGTGTAAAATTTACATTAAACTTTTCAAAATAAACTGTGGCAGTACTTCAACAATAACCAGCCACTTCAAAACTAAACATGAAGTTTCTTGGAAAGAACATTTTTTGAAAACCACCGAGACACTTAATAAACAAAATTAGTTCAGACTTTAACTTAGTAAGTTCTCTTATTGCTTGCGCACCATTTACTGGTAGACACACTGAGGTATCGATTGCAGTAAACCTGGACTCTTTCATAGCTAATTTAAACTTAAATGAAGAAGTTCATTGAGTCTGTGTTAATGACAATGGCAGCAACATTGTTTTAGCTGCCAATGAAAGTAATGAAATTAATTCAGAATTGCAGTGCAATGATCACACAATCCAGCTAGTTATTATTAAAGCAATCAAAAATTAAATTGAACTTTCTATAGCAATACAAAACTGTACAGATTTAGATGTGTGTACTTAGCACATATTGATGTTGTTATATGCTGAGTTTTATGTTTATTATGCGCTGAATTTCATGAGTTTATTGAAGTTTTACAAGCATTTTTTATGATTTTTTTTTCGTGATGGTTGTAACCATGACGATTGTAACAAAAAATCCAATGCTTAAAATTAAAAAATAAAATGATGCATTCAATGATGTAAGAAAAAAAGTATAAATGATTATTAACAACCATGTATATTATATTAAAAAAATGCACTATAACATTATCAAAGTTCTCAATTATGGATATATGATATGATTTTTAACGCTACTCAACAGGACTGTAAATAAGCGTAAAAACACATTTATACAACCCTTACAACATTAAAACCATGCTATAATGTGATAATATGATTTTTTTAAATAACTTTTTTGCTTAAAAATATTTTTAAATAGTTGAAAAAAAAGTATATATACTATAGCATATTTAGATAATGAAGCATACTGCATATAACGTTTTTATAAAAAGAAGAAAAAAACAAAGAATAATAAAAAAAAGACTGCTGCTCCATGTCAAAACCTCAGTCAATGTAGCTCAGCAGACTATATAATAGTTAATGTATGTACTGAAGCCCCTGGCAGCAGGCTATTTCAATGTGGCCATTCTAGGAAAAAAATTTAGGCGATGGTACTCCCCATCCTGGAAAAATTTAGCAAAAATATATTGCTTAGAAACATTAAAAGTATGTAAAAATAAAGGTCTTTAATCTTTAATTTGTGTGGCGCCCAAATACGGTCAACGTTATCGAAAACGGTCTAGAGTATCCCCTAATATATATATATATATATATATATATATATATATATATATATATATATATATATATATATATATATATATATAGCAACTTTATTGAATAAAATGTTATTTTGATATTATTATTTTTATTGTTTAATTCAACTTAACAAACAGTTTTAGGTTGAAAATATTTTAGACATTCTTTTTCTTCTGGAATGATTCATCTATATAAACCCTCTGAATTTGGGTCAGAA